GAGAGAGAGAGAGAGAGAGAGAGAGAGAGTGTGGTGTGTGTGTGGCCAGCCCAGCCCACCAGGGGGCGGGGCTGGCTGGCATGTGGTGCTGGGGGATTGAACCACGGTCCCTGATGCTTTGCTAAGCTTGTTCTAAGTAGGTGCTTTAGACCACTGAGCCATCTCTCCAGCCCCTCATTTTCACTTTTATTTATTAATTTCTTCCAGGACTTCTATTCAAGTATTTAGTTGTATTCTAATTATAATTCCTAAGTGTCCTTATTATCTAAATATTTTCTTTACATCTGTAACAATTACATTTTCTAAAATTTCCCTGTAATTAAGAATTTTGAGTGATTCAGCCATACAAACCATTGATTCTGCTTCAGAAACACTTGTATTCTGAGATTTTAGACTTATTCTCTCAAACTGTAGTAACTTATAGCCTCTTTCAGCTAAAGAAATTCATAGCATGGTACCTGATGTACTTACTATGGGAGAACTTCTGGAATTATTCTTTACTAGCTATAGATCCGCAATGGACAAGGGCCTGACAGGTATCTATAGTGTAGGACTATTGGCTTATCGTAAGTCTGTGTTATGTTTGAATAATCAACATTACTCCATCTGGAAATATTTATTGCAGACATTAGTAACAGACATTACAAAAGATATTTATTTAATTGCTCCTGGTCCAAAATTAATCTCATTATGTTATGTTAGATATGAAAGATAGGAAATAACAATACTGTGAAATTTAGAAAAGGTATAAATCTCATGTACAGTAAGGAGGCACCTGAAAAACAGTGAAGAAAAGTGAAGTACAAATTAAAATGGTAAATGGTTTATAAAGCAACTAGCTAATGTAGAATGCAGTAAATGTCCACATTCCATTGTGTTTGTTCAGCTTCTTATGGTAAATTTTTATTTTCTAAAAATGTGAGTAAGATAGGCCATCCATTTCTTTGGGATGTTATACACTTTGGGAAGACGGGAAAAATTGCAGCTCTAGTACTAATGGTACTAACCAAAAAATGGCCAGTGTACTTCACAGTTCCTTGAAAGCAAAATAGAATATTTCAGAATGGTATAAATGTGCTCACGCATTGTGTTCCTTAAGGAATTGGCAAGAGCTCCCATAAGTCCAGCCTGCAGTGTAAATCCCACCAGCACCAGAGTTTCTGCTTAAAAAAAACCCAAGTTACTAGCAACCCTCATCATTAGCACTGCAAATTCCATGTCTTGAAAATAAATATTTGCCTTAAAGCATAAGAACTGGGACTTTTTTGGCTGCTGGTGGAAATTGTGTTTAATTGCATTTTCTCCTCCAAAGTAGAATAACTTAATTAGAAATTCAGTAATCCCAAGCCTTTTGAAATTTGCTGTAACTTTGTAGAAAATTTCCAGTTTTTTATTCGTATCTATGATGTTCAGCACAAACTTCAATAGTTCCAGGTTTGTTCTCACTGGTTTTCCTGGTCTAGAAGGTTACTATCTCTGGGTATCTATGCCTTTCTCCTTGACTTATGCCATGGTGTTCCTGGGAAACTGCATGGTCCTCCATGTGATTCGAACTGAGCCGAGCCTTCATGAGCCCATGTTCTACTTCCTGGCTATGCTGGCAGTCACTGATCTGTCCATGGGGCTGTCTACTGCTCACACAGTGCTTGGGGTCCTCTTGGGCTTTATTCAAGAGATCAGCCTGGATTCCTGCATTGCTCAGTCCTACTTCATCCATGGTCTGTCCTTCATGGAGTCTTCTGTTCTCCTTGCTATGTCCCTTGATCGCTACATTGCCATTTGCAACCCTCTACGCTATTCTGCCATCCTAACAAATGATAAAATCATGAAAATTGGGGTAGCAATCGTATGTAGAAGTTTCTTACTCTGTCCTCCCGTCATCATCAGCCTAAAGTTCTTAAATTATTGTCGGCCTCATATCCTCTCTCACTCTTTCTGTTTGCACCAAGATTTAATCCGAAGAGCCTGTTCAGACATCCGCTTCAATTATGTTTATGGACTGGCTCTGGTGATCAGCACTCTGCTGTTGGATGCGCTGCTCATCCTGATCTCCTACGTCATGATCTTGCACACGGTCTTAGCTATTGCATCCCGGGAGGAGAGACTCAAATCCCTGCAAACATGTATGTCTCATATCTGTGCTGTTTTGATTTTCTACATACCTATCATTGGCCTGACCATGGTGCACCGCTTTGGAAAGCACCTCTCCCCACTGGTTCAAGTCCTCATGGGCAACATCTACATCCTTTTCCCACCCTTGATGAACCCCATCATTTATAGCATTAAGACCAAGCAGATACGCAGGAGAATCCAGAGACTTTTCTACCTGAAAAGAGCCTAAGTGTTGAGGTGAAATTGTAAGTACTTTAATGTAGTTATAGAGTATTTTATTGATGTTTACACATACTTTTCCTTTTTGATGGTCAAATAAGTCTGTGTGATTGGCATGTATAATGAATTTTGTAAATCAGAATAATCATGTACAATAGGTGGAAAGTCACACAATGTGTGAAGTATGTACATGTTTAATAGCTTCCACATTTTACCTATGATGAATAGAGTGAGTGTAATTTTTTTTCATACCCAGGTTTTAACTCTGGACCTTGTGCTTGCCAGGCAGGCACTTAAACCACTGAGCTATCTCCCTGGCCCATCGGTGTGTTTTTGTATCTGTCCATTATTTTATGTAAATTTCCTTCACACAATTAATGAAAGATTAGTCTTTTAATTCATTTTTGAAATCTAAGCAATATATTTATAGATATCTTTCAACCTTGTTACTCTCTTCAGCAATAAAAGGATAAAATGAATTAACATAAAGTCATAGACAGGGGACTACTTAGATCAGTTAAAAATAGTTAAATTACAAAAATTATAATCTTGATGCCAGTTTGTTTACCAACCCAAAAAATCTCCAAGCCTCCTGCTGGGAAGTAATATATAAATGACCAGTTAACTTCAGGATACAAAGAAAGAGTTTGATAATGGATTATTTACTCAAATAATAAGAGTAACAGAAACTACCATTAGAAAGCCACTGGAAAATATCTGAGTCAATCCTTTTCTGTGATCTGTAGCTTAAATCTCTGGCTCCAGTGTTTCCATTGCAAAATGCCTAGATTACTCATATGACTAAGTACTATAAAGTATTTCCAATTTAATCTTCCCATCAGGACTGTCATGTAGACATGACTTTCAATTATGAGTGGTTTGTTTCAATACACTGGGCTAGACAGTATACCAAATCACCAAAGGTAACATCTGATAGGCTTTAGGTACGTTGTTTGTGTTTGTGTCTCAAATTTCATGATGCTTCTTTACTACTCCTCTTCTCAAATTCTCTTAATTCAATTTTTAAATTTTAAGTAACCATGATAAAATATTTTATGGGAAATAGAAAAAATACTACAGTGAATCGATACTACATTATGTTTATATACATATATTTCTTCAACATATTTCTGCAATGCTTTGTACAAATTTTACCTAATATTGCAAAGGCAGATATATTGATGTGTAATTCCAAATAGTCATTTTCGCCTTGTTAGAGACAGACGCACCATTTAGAGTGCTTTGAGAAGCATTTATAGTCATGCATCCACTACCCTCACAGTTAATTTTATAACTTTTTCATTCATTCTCTCCCACATCAAATTGCCAGATGTCACTTCTACAGTTACTGTCATAAGTTTGTCATTAAAAGCAGGTCATGTAAACAAAATTATATAAACCTTAATCTTTTTGTCTAGAATATTATATTTTCAGATTGTTTTCAGATTCATTCTTACTACTGCTTTTATCCATAATTGGATCTTACATCCATTTGTATTACATTGTACCATGTACAAAAAGTTTAAGTATGAACTGCTGCTCTAAATTTTACTGTTTTGTTTAAATTTTGAATAATGCAGCTTTCAACATATGTATCATATAATTAAGAAAAATTTCCTCAAAGAATTTCTTCTTTTTGATATCTAAAACTTTGCTATTAAAGATGGAACAATTAGTACTCTAATAACTATTAAAATCTTTTAAAAAGCAATAGTAAGTAGTTTGTATTTGTTGGATGTCTGTCATTTACCATGTATCTTATATGGGCAGAGACGTGATTCCTGCCATTAATCCTGGGACCTATCTGTGGTGCAAATCATAAGCATTCAGTTTTTAAAATTTTTTATTCATTTTAATGAGAAAAAAGATAAAATAGCAATGAAACAGTTTCATAACAGTTTAGCATGACAGTTACAATAATTAATACATTTCTTTCTTTTATTTTTTATTTTTTTCGTGGAACTGGGGATTGAACTCAGGCCCTTGCGCTTGCCAGAGAAACACTTATTCCACTGAACCAACTCCTTGGCCCCCAATAATTAATATATTGCATATTGTTGTCTTCGTGGTAGTTACTCAGAGGACAAGATGTAGGCATGATATCTTGTCTAAACAATATTAATACAAAGTTTTCTTCTCCCTACTCAGCAATGCCTGTCCTCACAGATTTTGACTGATACTTTCTTCTAGATCCACCTGGTGACCCATGCATAATGTTTGCTCTCACAGCACAAGCACTAACCTGGATACCTATTCCCTCACTTCTCTAACCTAACATTTTTTAATATTCCTGCCTTCAAAATTATTTCCCTAAGGTTATCCAAACAACATAGCTACTTTGTTAATGTTATGGGGATATTTGCCTTGATGCCTGCAGTCACTGTACTGGTATAAAGAACACTTTTCTCTGATCCAGCCCAGTGGAAGTGAAGAAAGCAGAAGCCTCCCTCCTCCTTCTCTGAACAAGTTCAAGGGTCATTTTTTTCCTGTGCAGCTCTCCCACAATCTGATGTATTGTACAGTTACTCTCTTTCAAATAATCAATCAGGAAATAGGACATTAGTTTATGTTTTTCTTGATGCATTCTTTTCAAAGAACTTTGAATTTCTTTGCATTTATACCATGTATATGAGTAGGGGTAGAATATGTGCTGAAAAGCAGGCACATTCTGGAAGATATCCTACCTGCTATCCTTTCCAATTTCTCTCTCTCTCTCTCTCTCTCTCTCACTGTAATTCATGCTGAAAGGGTTTCTGCCACAGCTTCATCTGTTTGAAAGGATTTTTCCCCTGAATCTAAAATGCCTTCCTCTCAGAACTAATTCTGATTATTGCTATCTGGCTGAAGCATCTGACAGTAGAACTCTTGAGAAATAAAACAAAATTAAAATATTCAAGTGGACAAGTACTTCTGTATTTCAAAAACATTCTCTGAATTAATATATACATATGTACATATATATCTAAATAACTTTTGTGTGTCTATACTATTTCCAGTCATTTATGAGCTATTCATAACACATTCTAATTTGGGGACCATTTATGTATAAAATACTATCAATTCATTGCCAGCGTCAGTTACTTTGCTCCCTGGGTTATGTTGAAGCTAAGTGTCAACCCAATATGTCTCCGCAAAGAAAATTTTCTATTATATAAAAGTAAACTGTGGGTCTGGGGAGATGCCTTAGAATAAGCGCTTCTCTGGGAAGTGAAAGAGCCTGAGTTCAATTTCCTGTTCCACCAAAAATAAATAAGAAATAAATAAAAGTAAACTGTAACATTTATATAATACTTGTGTTTCAAACACTAATATCAATATGATGCACATACTTCCTCAGATTAACAAACTGATACACAGATAAGATAATTTCCATAATGTTTTATGGTAGAAGCAATGGAACATGGATTTGAGATATTGCACTGTGACTCTGAGTCATCTATCCTAAGGCTATATTGTACCCCAATGGATGAACCATGTTTCCTATTACATGTATCTTACTGACTAAAATCATTTAAAGTACTGTGACTATTTTTCATAAACTTTAAGTTTGTCCCCTGCACTATTTGCCTTTTAACCTTCACTAACAATTTCATCCTTCTGTCTATCCTAACAACAATTTATATTCAAGACCACATTTCTCAGTTCACTCCTGCCATGTCTGATGTACATTATAAACTTCATTTTAGGTGAAAAGACATTCAGATGGCTAGGACAAGTAAATATGATGTAAAATACAAGCCCTAAGAAGCAAGCAGACAGCACTGAATAATGAAATCCTACAGCAGCCCTTACACATGCTGAGATCCATTAACTGGTCTTATTTCCATGGAGAACTCCACCTTTTTTGAATCCCTGGTAACATTAAGCATTGCTTTGCTACATTCTTTGATTGGAATCTAGATTCTTCTCTTATTCTGCACTAGCTCTTGTAGACCTTCCTGTGTCTCTGGTGCAGAGACATTTTGCCTGTTATCTTGCCAAGTCCATTGTTTTTTATGCTATGCAGTAGGATTTTATGACAGAGTGATTAAAATTTATTTATCCTTTAAGCAGTGGTCTTTTTATTCAAATAAAGTCACCCATTTTAACTAAATTATCCTACTTCTCTTTTCATATTAAGGCAGATTATCTAATTTTCAGGTGTTAGCAGCCCCACTACAATTCTAGACAATAATTAAATATATATATATATATATATATATATATATATCCATTGTTAATATATATTTTTAGAGGTAACATCCAGAGGATTCACACTGTGCCTAAGAATTGAGTTTTTATAAGGCTGTGTGCCTAATCCTTTTAAGTCACTCCTCAAGAGTAGCAATATTGATTAGATTGTGGGTCTATGCTTGAAGACTCAAATCAACTAGAGATCATGATCTTCTTAAACAAGGTCCTGCCAACAAGTGCAGGTCCTTTAGTCTGTCTTTTGCAGTGTTAGGGCACAAATCCAGAATTGTGCCATTAGCTGATACATGAGCTCATGAGATCTGTCATGAGGAAATAGTATTTTCTTTCATTAAGTGTTGTTGACCATCTGGCTAGATCTTTAGTTGCCGAGCTAAAATACAAAAGATTGATCAATGTTTGTAGAGGAAAGAATCTATCCTCATAGGAAGGGATCCCCAAGAGCTTCCCAGGAGGGAAACTTTACAAGATGGTGATGTGTGTAATGAAAGAATTTGGTACTATTTGCACCTCAACTGTAAACACTGAGAGTTAGACCTGCTGAATGAGAGGAAGCAAAGTTCATCCTTCAACTGGTAATGTCGTCAGCATAAAATCTGAGTTCTATGGGTCAGTCAGCATAGGAACCAGATCAAAGGTAAAGTTAAAATTTGAATAGAGCGTTTTATTTACTGAGCTCTGGTCTGTCAGCCATTTCTCATGCAGGAGAAGACTGATCAGCAATCGATCATAGGTAGCAGGGGGGTATTTATGACAGAAATCACATCCAGGTTGGTAAGCGACTTTGTTATCTAGCACAAAACAACAGAAACTACATTC